CAGAGAAACATGTTTATATACCATAGCAACATGTCTATGGGCATCCTTCCTCCTCTACGAACATACCCTATCTTATTGAGTACGTTCATACCCATACCACTGTGTGTATATATGTACATTTCTGCCCACGCATAGACCAATACCAACATGTGCTTATATAAATAACTGCCTGTGTACACATTCCTATTCCATGAATACCATTCCCTATTATCTCCTCCCTCTAACAACTCATATATACATGAGCATGTGTGCTTACACTCATTCATGTGTGCTCACACTCATACCAATGTGTGTGCTCACTCATCCCTATGGCACGTCCCCACAGACAGACCTCTCACCATGTTATTGCATGGATGCACAAAACCCACTCACATACAATGATCCGTTCATGCTGCCAGGTGAGCTGTGTGGTCCCTTTGCTTGCCAGCCTACAGATTCCCATATATAGTTACCATCTCTCAAGAGCCCAGTGATGAGTGGACAGAGTTCTTGCCTCTCTTGGGCCAAGAGGACTGGCAGGTGCCACTCCAGATGATCACTGGAGAAACAGGAGAGCAGGGGCTGTAGGATTTAGGGAAATCTCTGCGTTCCCCAACCCCCAGCCTCTGTACCTCCCATCCAGATTAGGATCAGTGTCTCCTCCACTCCCACCCTCCCATACACACACCCATTTCACAGATTGGGAAACCAAATAGGCACATGGGATTTCTTGAAACCAAATGACTGCCGAGTCCACTGCTTGACCAGTTAGGCAGGTCTGCAGGATCTTATCTGTCTCTCCCTCCTAGTGTCTTGTCCCTCTCTCTTTCTATCGACTTATTTTGGTGCTTAATTCCTGTTTCTTGAAATTAATTACAGTCTCCTAAGGAATTCTCTCCCCTTATAGCCCTTTCCATTGCACTGAGGCCCTTTTACTATGTGATGCCACGTGGAATTCATTTCAAAATTGCCTGCACCTTGGAAGGAAGAAGACTGCAGGCCTGGGTCAGAGGGTAGACAGGAGCGTAGATATTTCTGTCAGCTAGAGTGATTCTGACTCAGCAGCTCAGTTTCCTGTTGGACTTTATTAGCCACTCTCCTCAGCCCACACAGGGAAGCAACCAAAGGAACGGAGTCCGCGTCTGAGCTCAGAAGGCCAAAAGGCTGACTTCTGCATCTCCTCAGCTCAGAGGAGATCTCCCTGCTTCGGCTCATCTGGTCAGGTGCTTGCTCCTCCAATTCTGACCTCCAGGCTTGGAATAGAGAATGGCATGCATTCGGGAAGGGTCATGGGGGGCTAAAAAGGAGGAACAGAAATGAGGGATTCTGGCGCATGGGGTAGGAGAGAGCAGAGAGACGGGGTGTTTGAGCACCTCTCTGAATGCTGCCACCTCCCTCCCTCTCCCACCAACCCACTACATAGATGACTGTAAGCAGGGATATGGAGTGAAGGGTCCCCAGATCCCCAAAGGTTTTTAAAATAGAAGACAACACCTTACAATGTGGTCTGGAGACAGAGCGATAGCGTAAAGCCCTTCTGTTTAATCTAGAAATAAAAGGCCTTAGAAGGATATTTGAGTTTTATTCTGACATTGCTGCTTTGTTGGGGGGGGATAGGGAAGTGTACACATGTGAGTGTGTATATCCATCAGTCCAACGATCAACAGGCATATATTAAACACCTTTTTGTACCAGGCATTATTCTGGGCACTGTGATACCAGGACAAAAATGAAACATTGCCTTCCCTCAAAGAGCTTACATTCAATGGGGGCAACATGTATTCCTAAGTATATAAAAATACATAAAAAGTAAATAAAAGGATACAAAGTAATTTGGTGGGAGCCAAGTCACGGGAAAGCCAGAGAGAGACAGCTTCAGTTGATCTAGTATGAAACAGCCGGCAAGCATTTATTAAACGTCCACTGTGTGCCAGGCACCATGCTAAGCTCTGGAGAGATGAAGAAAGGCCAAAAAACACCAATTAGTCCCTGCTCTCAAGGAGCCCATGGTCTAATGGGGAATAAATTGGAGACAATCACCAGAGGGAAGGCAGCAGCATTAAGGTGGATCAGAAAGACTTCTTGTAGAAGGTGGGGGTATAGCTGGGACTTGAATGAAGTAAGATGAGCCGGGAGACAGAAATGAGGAAGGAAGGAAAAGCGGGCATGGAAGAGAACCCTGTGAAAATGCAGGAAGTTTTGAATCAGAGAGTGACTTGATAAAAATGGTATTTAAGTCCAGCAACATATGTAGGATTAGAATGAGAAAAAGACAAGGGTCAGGAAGGCCAGCTAGGAAGCTGCTTGCGATGTAGTCTGGTGCTGCTAAAGGTCGGCTGTGGGGCAGGAGTAGCAGTCAAGCTAGGGGATATATTTTGTAGAAAATGCCAAACCTGGAGTCACCTTGAAATCCTGAGTTCAAATTTAGCCTCATATACTTACTAGCTGTGTAAACCTGGGCAAGTCACTTAATAACATGCCTTTCCTCAGTAAAAGGGGGATAAAGAATAGCACCTACCTCCCAGGGTTATTATGAATATCAAATGACGTGGTATTTGTAAAGTGCTGCATAAATGTTAGTCATTACTATCAATACTGATATACAAAGACATATAATGATCTTTTGGATTTGGCTGTCAAGTAGACCTTTGTCATTGCCTCTCATTTAGTCAATCAATCAGTCAATCAAAAAGCATTTATTATGCACCTACATTGGGATCGTCAGGTCCCAATGATACATGTGGTAGTGATGATACAAATGCAAAGAATGGGACAATCCTTACTCTCTTACATTCTAATAGAGCTAATGTGGTTCCAGTGGTGCAGTCGATTCTGGTGATTGTTCTCCAGGATACAACTCTTTTTATTAACTCAAGTCCCACTTGACTCCCTCTGTGCATTCAAGAAGATGGGAAAGCTGTTTATGTTCCATTTCCTTAGAGTTATAGGGGAGCCCTTGAAGTCCCATGACTTTCTATTGTTAACAAGCTGATTTCCTTCAAGAAATCACTGTCCCTGCCACCCCAGGGTGGAGCAGAGCAGCTGTTCAACATCTGGTTTTTAACACCATACAATTGTTGAGGTCAGGAAACAAAGGAGGAACTCCTTACTGCCACTGAATGGCAGTGAGATTTAGGAAGGCTGGGTATACACATACAACCAGCACAACCAGGGTGAGGCAGAATTTCCAGGTTCCGAGAATCTGAATTCTACTCTGATATTATTGTTCTGTTTGCTTCTACTGCTTTCCTCTCGCCATCATAATCCTTAAATATAATTACTCCTACCAATACTGGGGACTAGAAATCACTTTTTTTTTTTCCAGTCCCACCCCTTACTGAACAGTGACCTGTTTACCACTGGCCTCTAATATTTCTATTAGGAAAAGAACCCAAGAGCCCATCTCCAGAGGACCACGATGTTTATAAAAGTATCACTATGAAGTAGAAAGAGGACTGAATTTGGAGTCAATGGACTGGAGTTGCAATTAGCTCTCACTTTCAAGCAACAATGTGACTTGAAAAGCAAATCTTATCTGGACCTCAGTTTCCTCATCAGTAGAATGAAGGAGTTGGATTAGATGACCTAAGGTCCTTTCCATAGCTCTAGAAATATGAGCCTTCTATCAAATAGTAATGCCTCATTTTGTTGTTCAGTCCTTTTTCAGTCTTGTCTGACTCTTTATGACCCGATTTGGGGTTTTCTTGGCAAAGATACTGGAGTGGTTTGCCATTTCCTTCTCCAAATGCCTCATACTTCTTTAATAATAGCTCATTTCTATAAAACTTGAAGGCCTGCAAAACTTTTTCCTCAAGCAACCCTGTGAGGTAGGGTAGGCGGTGTAGGCATTAGCAACACCATTTTGGAGATGAAGAAAGTGAGGCTCACCTTGCTCAAAGGGGCCAAAAGAGGCAGATAGTGAAAGGATCACCCTCATTTTAGAGATAAAGAAAGAGGCTCACCCTTCTCAGAGAGAGGTGAAGTGACTTGTCCACCCAGCTAGTGAATATCAGAGTCAGAATTTGAACATAGCTATCTCCTGATTTCAAGTCCAACACTCTTTCCACTACTCTCAGCTGGCTCTTATCAACCCTCTTTTTGTCCCAAAGAATTCAGGTATATTTTGCATACGTTATTTCATTGGTTCTCACGGCAAGCAAGGATTTCACAATCAGTGAAATTGAGACTCAGAGCAGTGATTTGCCCAATGTCACACCATTAATCAATCAATCAATAAACATTTATTAAATGCTTACTACGTGCCAGGCACTGTGCTGAGTACTGGGGATACAAAAAGAAGCAAAAGACAGTCCCTGACCTCAAGGAATTTATAATATAATGGAGAAGGCAATATACAAACAGAGACAAAAAAAACTATATACAGGATAAATAGGAAATAATTAACAGAGGGAAAACACTGGAATTAAGAGGAGTTGAGGAAAGCTTCCTGTAGAAGACGGGATTTTAGTTGGGACTTAAAGGAAGCCACGGAGGTCAGTAGATGGAGAGATGAAAAGAGAAAGTATTCCAAGCTTGAAGGACAGCCAGAGAAAATGCCCACATTAGAGCTGGAGTGTCCTGACTAGACGTCCCCCCACCCCACTGCTCCTTTACTGAATCCCAGACCAGCATTCCATTCTAGACTTAACTTGACACCGTGTGTCTGCCACTCTCGTGGCAGGCGCACCTTAATCCTTCAGGGAATTTGTGGCCTCAAAACGCATTAATGCCTTCCCCTTGAATATATACAGGGGCCTTCTGCAGAGGATTCTGACGGTGGTGGTGACGGGTGAAGGTTGCAACTTGTGGGCTGACAAGGGTTAAAACTTCCCTCTGGCTAGGACAGCAACAGGTTGAGGAGGGCTGGGCTGGTTTCTGCATTCTTCCATTTTCTCCAGCAGAGGGTCTGGGTGTCTCAGTTGTCCTACATAATAGTTGCATTCAAGAGAGGCTGGGCTGTCTTGGGGGGGGGGCGGGCGGGGGGGTGTGACCGGAGCACCGCCGGTCTCTCCGCCCTTCTGCTGCCCCCAACCACTGCCGCCTCTGGCCAGAGGACTCCACTACCCACTCCACTGACTGCTTTGGAGGTTTCACACCAGAGAGCCACAGAGATGGACTTCGGCATGTCTGTAGCCCTGAGCAAGAGATTCCAAGGTAAGAGAATCTATTTCTGTCTCCCCGTTCCCCTAACGCCTCCCTCCCAATCTAACTCTATCCTCCCTCCTACCTCCCACCATCCTTCTTCGGACACCTGCCTATCCCCAAACCACTTCCCATAGTCCTCCAACTTTCAGTCTTGCTTGGGGTTTTCCAAGTTAACTTTTTACAGCCTAGAAAGTTTGGGGGATAGAGAATCATGCCTTTTGGAAGAGATGAGCACCTTCCTCGCTCCCTTCAAAACTACCCTCTCTTCTTTGTTTTCTACAGGAGGGAAAGCGTTCGGCTTGCTGAAAGCCCGGCAGGGGAGGAGGCTGGAGGAAATTAACAGGGTAAGAAAGCCATTGGCTGCCTCTAAGTGGCTGGAAAAACTTCCCTCTGATCGATCAGGCTCACGTTGGGAGATGGTTGCCTTGCTTCTCTCTTTTCTCGTAAACACAGTTAACTGGGGCGTATATTTTGTCCCCCGGGACTCTGTCGCCCTGGAACCTCTCCCCGACCTCGTTTGTATCTTTCCTTGGGAAATATTTGTGTACCCTCTAGAAAGCAGTTTGGAATCTGCCTCCATCCACATTTACAACTTAAAAGTTTATTGGTCCCTCTTTTTTCCCTCCTTCCTCTCCAGTATTCTTTTTGTCCTCGGGACCGTGATTGGGATAGATCTGTGTTTTCCCCACCCCATACTTAAACTCTCTTCTTCCACAAGTTTCTCCACCTTCTTTTCTAAATATACGTCCCAATTGACCCATTCCCCCCCTCCACTAAACAAGTTAGATCTTTCTCCCAATTTGCTCAAGGTCACTGAAGTTTCAGGTTGCAAATTGTTAATCTCCAACCAAGAAAAGTGGGGGCAGGGATAGACTATTGCTGGTGAGTGTGGTTCTGTCTATTTTTCCCTTGGCCAGGGATTCCCAACCTGAGAGCAAATGACTTAAAAGCCAGTTTAGAAGTCATAAAATCAGAAATTAGAGCAGGATAGGACTTTGGAACAAAGAAGGTGAGAGCTGGACTGGACTTTAAATATCTGGTTTAATTCCTTTTAACAGATGGGGAAACAGAGGCCCAGAGAATCAAGTCAAAGGACTTGACTAAGGTCACTCAGAGCTGGGTCTCCTTACTTTGAGATGGTGGCTCTTTTCACTAGGCTTCATGGACTAGTGCATATTCTGGTTTCTAGATGTTGGGAGTCCCTTTTCCCCCACCTCATCCAGAACCTGGGCTCAGGGAGTACCACTCATGACTCTTTCCCCACTCCCAAACTTCCCACCTCTATGCTTCATTCATAGTTCTTAGAACTTCTCATGGGGAGGCAAAGAGTAGTGTTGTAGTGTTGTCTTACATGTTAGGATTGAGAGAAAAAGGATTTTCTTTTTTTATTCAGAGTTTATATAAGGAAATCCTTTTTAACACTAATGAAGAATGGGGAATTTAATTTTGTGGGGGAGAGGAATACCTGACATGTATAATTTCAGTGAAATAATAAGGTTTTAACTTGGAAAGGATAACCTCCACCCCTGTGAGAGAAAACCTTCTCAAACTCTGCCTTGATGATAATAATAATAGCTAGAATTTTAGTAGTTTTTAGAGAAAATATTCAAGTTCCAGGTCTTTTAACTATAGTATACAGACTTCCCCTCCTCTCCCCCAAGACCTGGCCCTCTCCCAGAGTATACTTTTACCCCTCATGCTGAATTACCATGCCTTGGGGGTTTACTCCCCATAGGCTGTCCCTCTGATGCTATACTATAGGATTGGAGCTGGGCAGTGTGTGCTGAGGCAAGGCACGTGGGGCAAATGCAGTGGCACGCTTCCTAACCTACCTGGCCATTTGTTTTGATTTGTCTGGTAGTATGGGGTTCTTCCTCCAGACACTAGAGATTTGGGGAGGCAGAGGAACTTCTAGGGTTTCCAGGCATATCCTATGCCTCCTAGGTCCCCCAAATGAGTTGACTCACCCTCCACTCTCTGCCTCTCATAGCCCTTCTTCCTTGGAAAGGGGAGTTAGAAAGGGTGCCCAAGGCCCTTCTGGAAGATGCTTCCATTCATTCTCAGGTTAGCCCTGCTGTGGAGATGCCTGGCAGGTCATCAGGAAGATACTGCCAGACTCATACTCATTCTTGGCTCTTCATGAGACCACTGGACAAGATCCTGGTGCTTTAACCTCTTCCAGGTCCCAGTGGGGCCGATCCAGCCCAGGCTTGAGTTACATGCTGGATGAGTCCACCCAAAGCCAGCAGGACCCTGAGCATTTGGCTGCTGAAGTCAGGACTGCGGAACGCAGTCAGGCTGGAGAAACAATGGAGGGAGGCCGGCTTAGCTGGCTGTTTCCTCAGCCAGCCACACCCTCCAGGGATCTGGGGTGGGGTGGAATGGGATGGAATGGGGTTGGGAGTCTTAGAAGGGATGAATTTTAAAGTGGAAGAGATTTAGAGATCATCTATTTCCTCCCCCCTGGAATTTTAGAGATGAGGAAACTGAGATTAAGTAATTTGCCCAAGATCAAATAAGAAGTATGGGGCTAGCTTTGGGAGGGACTGAGGCTGGTTTGGGGGAAAGGGAGGAGCTTTGGATTATTGTGACCCATGTGAATTCTACTTTGAATTGGAGTCAAGATGAGGAAATCTGTTAGTGAGACCTTTGTTTGGACTTCTGGAGCTAGTCCCATTCCATGTTTATTTGTCTCTTTTTTCCCTGACCCTAGGCCAGGGCCTGGTTTCAACCTAACCTGGAGTTATCTGGTTTTGTAATTCTAGGGGCCAAGCCCTCATCACCTGACCCCCAAACATACCCACAAGCATCCGCCGCTTTCTGCCACCACAGAAGCTGCTGTGTTAGGAATGTAGGCTAGGAGGTCTCAGTGTGCCTTGTAGTACCCGACTAGGATGAGTTGATAGTCAAGGGTCAGTGGTGAGCTGCATGGCAGGCTCAGGAATGGTGGGGTGAGTTCCCCCCAAAAGACTTTGTATTTTATACTGCGCTTAGAGACTAAATGAGCAGTGGCAACATTTGGAAGACTAGGATCTAAGAGATGCTTGTACAAAAGCCTTGCCCATAGGTCAAAATCTCCTCTGGCATGCTTGTGGATAGTTGGATTGATGTGATGGGTCATCAGTGTGGGGCACCAAAAACAAAAAACAAAGGTGAAACAATTAGGGCTTTGTTTCAGGGTGCCAAAGTTTTTTTTTTTTTTTTTATGTTTATTGATGTTCTTCCCATTACAATCATTTCTTGGAGGTTAGAAATACCCTACCCCTGTCCCAACTTCAGATTGAACCTTCCTTAGTAACAAAGAAAAATAATAAACAAAACACCTGACATAGTGACAATGTATATAGTATCACATCTGACAATGTATATAATATTACATATACAATTCCATCTTAGCAGTCTCCTACCTCTCTGCTTGGGACTTGGGAGCTATGGTTCATTATCCATTTTCTAGGACTGTTACTGGCTTTTCACTTATATTGTTGGAGTCATTGTCCATATCATCCTTTTGGGTCTGCTTACTTCATTCTATGTCAGGATGATGTCTATGTGTTTCTATGTTTATATATTCTATATCAGTCCATACAAATCTTCCCATGTTACTTTGAATTCATTGAATTTGCTATTTCATCTTGCACAATAATATTCTATTACATTCATGTACTATAGTTGTTTTCACTTATTCTCCCACTGATGATTATTTAGGCTCCCAAATTTGTAGGGTGCCAAGAGCACTACAGTCGAGGCAAATCTTTCAGTAGCACAAAGCTAAGAGAATTTAGCAACTAGGAAGCAAAAAGAATTAACTGAAAAATGAAGCTACCGGTTGGTCTGTTCTCCTACTCCCAAACACTAGAAAAACTCCTCCTAGACCTGTCCCCTACCACCCTTGTGTTATACCAGCTGAAAAGTTGATTTGGGGCCATGTTTTTGTGCCAACTGCCCCCAGAAACAGTTTGTGCTGTCCTAGCCCCAATATTACTAGTTATGGCTCTGGGGGAGTCACTCAAATGAGTTTGGAAGCAGTTTCCCAACAAAGGACCTGCATAGCTCTCAGGGATGCTCGTTCAAAGATCAAGTTCACCTCAATGACTTTTGAAGGGTCTGCCAACTCTACTGAAATTCTGGGAATGTGTAAACTCATCTCCTCTCCTCCTCTTCACTTTTAAGAACTGAGTCCCCCAAAACACTGGTGGTGCGACTGTGGAAAGGGGATACGTGTGTGTATGCTGACCCAGTAGCCTGCTTGCTGAAAGTGGCACCCAGCCATCCTTGCCTACTCTGGAGAAGAATAGAGGTCATTGTGAGAGGAAGCACCTTCAGTTCAGATTCTCGTGTGCAGCCTCTGTTTGGTACCAAACATGTTATGCTTGGCGACAGTGATTTGTTCTGTACCGTGGAGGGTAAGCCTGGTGTTGGAGTCAGAGGAGGCTCTCCAAAGAACCTTTCCTTGTAGAGTGATCTCCATCCCAAGGCTCCTTTGGTCCTAGCACCAGGTCCTTTGGGACTTCAGTTACTCAGGGCTCCAGATCACAAAACTGATAAAAAGAGAAAAATAGAAACATTCCCCATGGGGACTTTGAGGTTGAAGAATCTGGCCCCTGATTTGGGGGATGGCATCAGAGGAAGGGCTACTTGATCTGGTTCTATTCTATGGCTCCTTCCTCTTCTCTCCTGAGCAAGCCAGGGACCTTCCCCTCTGCTGTCCAGGCTGGGGACGGTCCAGCCCTAGCCTTCTGTTTTTGTTTTCTCACTGTGTGTATTTTGTCTAAAGGACTATGGAGATTAGAGCCTGAGCACTGCTCCCCACTCCCCCCACATAGCTGACATTCTCTACAGCCCAGACGACAGGAAAGGGGTGACCCCAGGCCAGCCAGGTTCAGCCTTATATGGGAAAGGGAGAAAATTGCTCAGACTTCCCACAGGGGCCAGGAGGCCCAGGATTGTGTGGGCAGAACTTTAGAATGCCCAGGCTGCCTCTGCCTAGTCTGGGAAGATTGTAGTAGAGTAGAAAGGCTAATTGGATTGGTGTCAGAGGATCTGGGTTCTAATCCCAGTTCTCTTCATTACTGACTGTGTGCCCTCTGACTAGTCACTTCCTCATTTGCAAAATAAGGGGAGTGGGGAAGAGGAAGGAGATTATATCTCTAAGGTCTCTGCCACCTCTAAATCTAGGATTTTGTGATAGTCTTACGAACTCAAGGAGAGTCAAAACCTTCAGGGTGGCATTTGACTGACTTTTGTGGAGACACAGTCTGCCCTGGCTCTGGTTCACCAGCCTGCTGCAGCCTTGCTCTTACACAGTGCTGTCTTGCTTTTACGGATAAAGATCTCTGGCCCAAGGCCAGTCCCATACTCCTAGGCCCTCCCAAGTGGTTTAAAGGACATTTAAAGTTTTACATCCACCTTATTTCTGAAGGGTCACTTTAGAATGAAAGTAGCATTGAAGACACACACACACACACACACACACACACACACACACACATTAGCTAGGCACAACCCATTTGAATGTGTGCATAGGGTGGGTGGGTATGCACTCCTCACAAGGAAGGGAAAGGGAGGGTCTGCAACTGTACCTGGGAAGGCTGTGTGCCTCCGAGTGCCACCCTATATATGTGCCTAGGTGAACGTGCCCAATTGGCATTGCAAAAACACCCTTCTCTTTTGCTCTTCCTTAATATATTATAAGGGAGATGGTTGATAAGGTGCCACGTGAGCCCCAGATATGGTGTCACCACCAAAGGTTCAGCCGGCCCTGGCCGCTTTGGAACCAGAGTCATGGGGAGCTGAAGATGGAATTTCTTTGGGGTTTGACTCATTTGCATAATTGGTTGTTTTTCTCTCATTCTGATGTTAGCAAGAAGGTTAAGTCCTCTCCAGAAAAGAGAGCTTCCATGGGGAATGTGAGACCATTGGTCTTGGTGATTACCTTTACAGAGCTCCACAATTTGACAGGCACTACCTAGATCACAAGTAATACAGTCCTGACCTTATAGAAGCTTCTGCACTACACCAGTAAAGACACTGGAAGCTTTGTGGATGGCTGAACTTGGGCCCAAGGCTTATCCTCAAATCCTCTTGGTTCTTTGAGACATTGAACCCCTCTAGATGAGATCCAGGGCGTAACTGCCTTCCAGCCTCCTCTGCCATATATGTCCCTCCAAGGGATGGAAAAAGACCACCCAGGGTATGAAAGGTGCAGGCAGGCAAGAGGTCAAGTTCAGAAAAGTCAGCAAAGTCAGGAAGGACCAGGCAGCCAGACTGGCAGAGTCTGGTAATAAATAGGTCATAGAATCAGTCAATAAAAATGGCACTAGCAGAGTGAGCTCTGATGCCCAATATTACATTGCTTGCTGATCCACAAATGTTCATCTTTGCCAGGATAAGATCAGAGGATTATAGCTAAAACCTAATAAGGAGCAAAGGTGCTAGGATCCCCAGAAGGTCCTCATCGTACATTCCATATCAAATAGTGTTATATTAAATCATTAAATCCTAGAACTCTAGGAAAAGCCCTCAAAAGTCGTTAAGTCCAACTCTTGCCCAGAATGCCTTCTGTGCCAATCCTACAAGTAGTTAATTGATCTCTTCTGGAAATTCTGCAGAGTTCAGGTACATTTAAAATAATACTAATAATAATTATTATTAAAATAGCTAACATTTATGTTGTTGTTCGGTTGTTTTCAGTCGCATATGACTCTTTGTGACCTCATTTGGGATTTTCTTGGCAGAAATACTGGAGTGGCTCACCATTTACTTCTCCAGCTCATTTTACAGATGAGGAAACTGAGGCAAACTGGGTTTAGTGATTTGTTCAGAGACACACATAGTAAGTGTCTGAGACTGGATTTGAACTCAGGAAAATGAGTCTTCGAGACTCCAGGCCCAGCACTCTCTCCACTGCACCAGCTAGCATTTATATTATATTCATTACTTGGTATAGGCTGTGTCTGATTCCATTCTACAGTCCAAGAAACTGAGACCCATTTCCTTTTTCTGGGTCACATCCCTAGTAAATGCCAGAGATGGGATTCAAACCCAAATCTCTCCTGTCTCTAGGTCCCGTGTTCTTTTTACTATACCACAGTGACTTATAATCTCTGGACCTCAGATTCCTCCTTAGTAAAATGAGAGGCTTGGACTACGTGATTGCTGGGGGCCCTTCCAGAGCTAACTTCCTATGTTCTATGCTCTCCCATACCTCTCATACTGGCTGTAAGTCTCCATTGCTCATAAAATTCCCCCTGACTACTTTTGAGGATGATCACAGGTCAGTCCTCATAGGAAACTCTAGAGAATAGAACTGCAGCCTTCCTGTATTCCAACACCAATTTTTTGTTTTGTCAATGGAGGTGAAAATCCTCCATGTTTCTTCCTTTTCATTTTGGAGGCAGATCTTCAAGCATTACAAGATGCAGCCTTCTCTAGGATGCATCAGAGTGAGGATTCTCTTTTCCCTGGTCCTTGCAGCCCCCAATTGACTAACTCCTAACTAACATAGCTGCTAGAGCAAAGCAGAAACAATTGCCACCGTGGTTAGCCAGGGAAACTGTACTGTTTTGGAAAACCAGGACTTTGGGTAAAGGTGAAGTTGGGCTGCAGCCTCGCACAGATTTATGACTCTGCCAGAGTACATGTGGTACATAGTTTCCCAGTCTCAGTGATGTAGCTAGTACCTTCTGTATTTTTCCATTAGACAATAATAATGATTTTATACATATACATATATACAATTAATATATAAAACACAACATATATACATATATGTACACAGTGTTTTATGTGTTATATATACATGTATGCAATTAATATATACATAATATATGTATACAATGTTTTTATATGTGTGTGGGTGTATGTATATATATACATACACCCACACACATATACCCACAATTAACATTTACATAGCCCTTTAAGGTTTGCAGAGCACTTTATGTGAGCTAGATCGTTTGATCTTCACAACGACCCTGTAAGGTAGCTGTTGTTGAGTTGTTTCAGTTGTGTCGGACTCTTTGTGACTCTATTTTGGGATTTTCTTGGCAAAAATACTGGAGTGGTTTGCCATTTCCTTCTCCAGCTCATTTTACAGATTTTTACAAACTGAGAAAATAGGGTTACATGACTTGCCTAGGATCACACAGCTAGTAAGTGTCTGAGGCAGGACTTGAAGATGAGTCTTTCTGGTTCCAAGCCCAGTGCTCTATCCACTGCTTTACCTAGCTGCCCAGCAAAATCGGTTCTATCATTATGCCCATTTTACTGCCTGAGAGAGATTTAGTGACTTGCTCGGAATCACTCAACTCAGTTCCCCAAGGATGACTAATTGTTCAAGCCTGAGAATACTCAGTCAAGTGGTTTTTCTGCTGCGTCATTTTGCCCCCGCTGTGCCCAATATTTATGTTTATTTATGTAGTTTTTTGAGGGTCATAAGTTGGCATTTATTATTTAAGTTGAAGAGCAGGTTATGAAGGGGGTGGGGGACACATTCATGACAGAGAGTCCAAGGTGGAGCCCTAGGGGAGAGAGGAGAAGGGAGGAGACAGGGAGACGAGAGCCTCTCCTCTGTGTCTGCTCTAGACCGGGCTGATCCTGATCTCTGAGCCTTGGTCCAGGGCACACAATGAAGCCCATGATAAGATGAGGTTCCAGGGGCTACAGGTTTAGGAAACATCAAGGGGCAGCCAAAGTTACACGTCCAACCAAAGGTGGGAGCTGAGATTCTCCTTGGATGAGCAGCACCGCTGCCTTTTAGGAATTGAAGCATGGTGGTAAGTTCCATCCCACTTATCTCAGTTCTTAGGAAACATTCTTGTAGTGAAAGTCTTTGTGCTAAAGAATTCTTTCATAGCCTCTCCAACTTCTTGTACTTCGCTTCTAGTTTCTTTGAATATGCGTCCACCTTGCAGGCTGCCCTCTCAAGAGCTGCTACCCGCTCCTCAGTTAAAGTGATCTGATCCAGATGAGGCTGAAGCGCTGCATATTTCTGGCTTAAGTCCTTTAGGTTTCTGCGTATGTTTATTGCAATATCCTTCATTTCTAGATACTTCAAGCTAGTCAGTTTGTTCATATTTTCCAGAAGTTTATAGTCTTCACTGGTGGCTGTCAGCTCGCCTTTCAGGTACGTGGCCATTTTGGAGAACACATCCTGACACAACCCCATGATGTTCGCCTTGATGGGCTCCGTGGTCTCCATGGTATCATCTCATCCCAGACCCTCCCACTCATGCCTGAGCCTTCTCAGGCCCCACAAGCGGGCCACAGGCCTTATTTATGTATTTTTTTAAAAAAATGTTTTATTAGAACTTTTTTTTTAGCCTCACTGTCCTTTCCCATTGACTCCTCCCACCCCTACTAAAACACTCTCTTTTGTAATATTTGAGTGAAACAAATCAACATATTGACCATACCTGAAAATATGTGTGTCATTCTGTACCTGTAGTCCATTACCTCCTTTCTGAGAGGCTGGAGGGAGGCTTCACCATCATTTGCTGATAAATTTTCCTGCTCTGTGGAAGTAATTCTCTTTAGGGAAGGTTGAGAGCTGAGGGAAAAAGGAAGGTGGAGGGAGAACTAATAATAATAATAACACTTTATACCGTACTTAGCAGTTTTCAAAGCACTTTCAGATACCATATCACATTCAAGCCTCACAACACTTCCATGAGATAAGGGCAGGGATTATTAGCCCTGTTGAAATATATTAAAAACCTTTTTAGTTTCTTAAGAAATAATATAATTCTGAAAAGGCCTTTCCAGACTTTTGGGGGAAACCCTTTAGAAAAGAGGTTGATAGGTCAGGACCAAAAGTACACAATGGTTTTTGTTAAGAAAATGGAGTGAAGGTGATAACCGAATTTAACTACACCTTCCCCAACCTTGAAGTGATTTGATTATTGACCCATCTGAGGGGAGCCTCCTCTTTACCTGCCTGCCTGAAGTGATTGGTAAGCTGGCCTTCTATACTAAGAAGGGATTAAGATTGTTGGAGGTATGAGGTCCCTTTGTTTAACTTCAGGAGTGAGGCTGACTAGCTCAGGAAGAAGAGGGAAGTGATTTGGATACTCCCTTCTGAAATGTTAACCCAGACTGTATTTTAAGATATCTTTTCCTTATTTAAGATTCCTCTAAGTGTTACTGGAAATCTTCTTGGAGCAGAAAGTCACGTCCAGGGGCATGGGAGACTATGTCAGTTTGGGCATCTCTCTGTGTTAGAAATAGCTTAGATGTAAAATGACAAATTGTTTCCAGCAGATCTGAACCTAAATAGTAGAGTACAGTATTAGTATTAATATTTTTTCTTCAATATCCTCATTTTACAGATAAAAAAACTGATTCCATTTAAGGTTGTCACTTACCCAAGGTCACATAGCATGTTGTATGACAGAACCCATACTGTGAGCCCAGCTAGGGCTTCTAACTGCAGGTTCAAAGTTCTTTTTGCCATGCTATGCTGACTCTCTTTAGAAAGAGTTCAAGACCAGGGCAGGTCACACTATGTGATGCCCTCACCCTGACACAAGAAACCATCTTTATTTCAGTAAAATCAAATTAAAATGAACTCCATGGGTGGTCTGCAAGGAGAAAATAAGTCAGGGGTTCTTAATGTGGGATCTAACTTCTTTTTAAATAACCACTTTTTAATATAATTTGTTTCTTTTGTAATCCATTGTTTTTTATGTATTTTAAAACATCATTCTGAGAAAGGGCTCGTAGGCTTCATCATTCTGCCAAAGGGACAAATGATACAAAAAAGGTTAAGAACCCTTTGCAATACACACACACACACACACACACACACACACACACACACACAAGCTATGTGTGTGTGTGTGTGTGAGAGAGAGAGAGAATGTGTGTCAATTGTGTATACATGTGTGTATGGGTGAGGTGATGAAGTGAAGGCCTTGATGATAGTAGACCAGTGTTGGGCTGGCTATATGGGGGTGGTGGTGGTGGTGGTAAGAGACAGAGAGACAGACAGACAAACAGGCAGAGACAGACAAAGACAAAGAGAGAGAGAGAACCATGGCTTTTTGAAAAAATTTTTATTGGTATCTCCTGTTTCTTACATCATCACAGTTATCCAAATATCCCTCCACATCCCCTGCCCAGAGAACCATCCCAGAACAAATGGAATTTTTAGAGAGGAAAAAAATCAGCACAGCTGATCAATCCATTGAAAAAGCTGAAAACGTGTGTAATGTACCCATTATCTTCCTCCCACCTCCATGAAGGAGTAGGTTGGGGGTATCTTCTAATATCTCTTCATTCAAGTTCTGAAGGATCTTTATAATTTTGTCATGTTTGCTTTTGATTTTTTGGTTTGTAGTTGTTCTTTCCATTGAGATTATTGTAGTTACTGTGTATATTGTTCTCTTGGCTCAGCTTACTTCACTTTGCATCAGTTCATATAGATTCCATGCTTCTCTATTCATTGTACACATCATTTCTTTTTTTAATTAATTAATTTATTTTTAGTTTTCAACAATCATTTCCATAAGCTTTTGAGTTTTAAATTTTCTCCCCCTCCCTCCCCACCTCCCTCCCCTAGACAGTGCACAATCTGATATAGGCTATACATATATGTTCCTATTAAACATATTTTCATATTAGTCATGTTTAAAGAAGAATTAGAACCAATAGGAGGAACCACAAGAAAGAAGAAACAAAACAAAACAGAAGAAAAAAAAGAGCGCATAGTATGCTTCAATCTACATTCAAACTCCATAGTTCTTTCTTTGAACGTGGATAGCATTTTCCATCATGAAACTTTTGGAGATGTCTTAGATCCTTGCATTGCTGAGAAGAGCTAAGTCTATCAATTTAGTCGTCGAATAATGTGGCTGTTACTGTGTACAACATTCTCCTAGTTCTGCTCACTTCACTCAACATCAGTCCATACAAGTCTTTCCTGGTTTTTCTGAAGTCCACTTGCTCATCATTTCTTCTAGCACAATACTATTCCATCACATTCATATACCACAACTTGTTCAGCCATTCCCCAATTGATGGGCATCCCTTCAATTTCCAATTCTTTGCCACCACAGAAAGAGCTGCTATAAATATTTTTGTACATGTGGGTCCTTTTCCCATTTGTATGATCTCTTTGGGATACAGCCCTAGAAGGCACACATAATTTCTTATAGCACAGTAATATTCCATGACATTCAGGTACCACAGTTTGTTTAGCCATTGCCCAATAGATTGTCATCTACTTTGTTTCCAATTCTTAACTATCACCAAAAGCTCTTCTAAAATATTTTGGAGTATCTGGAGTCTTTCTTCTTATTGATGACTTTCTTGGGGTATAAGCCTAACAATGGCTTCTCTGGTTCAAAGGTTATAGATATTTTAATCACTTTATTTGCATAATTCCAAATTGCTTTTCAAAATAATTGTACCATTTCACAGTTCCACCAACAATGTGTTAATGTGCTTATTATTTTCACAACCCCTCCGATATTGATTCTTGCCATTTTGGGGTCATTTTTGCCAATTTGCAGAGTTTGAGGTTAACTCTCAGGTTTGTTTTGATTTACATTTGTCTAATTATTAGAGATTTGGAGCATTTTTTCATATGATTGTGAATATTTTGCAGTTCTTCTTTTGAGAACTATTTGTTCATATCCTTTGACCATTTATCTATGGGGAATGACATACACACATATATGTATCTATATGTGTATATGCACATGCACACATATGTATTGTTATGTGTGTGTTTGTTTATTGTTTATATATCTTGGATACGAAACCCATATCAGAGAAGTTTGATATGAAGTTATTTTCCCATTGGACCACTTACTTTCTTATCCTAGATGCACTAATGTTCTCTGTGCAAAAGTTTTTTGGTTTCAAGTAATCAAAGTTATCTGCTTTATCTTTTGTAATTGCTTCTATCTCTTGTTTGATTAACAATATATCTCCTATCCATAGCTGTGAGGGCCTTTTTTTTTAAAGCTTTTCAGTTTCCACTGAGGAAACCACCTCTTCCCACACCAGCCACTTTCCTAATTCATAACCCAGTGAGGTAGCAAGGGGTTTATCAGAGAACTGGACTGGGGGCAATTGCTCCTACTGTAGTACATACCTTTGAGTCACTCCCCTGAGAAAGAGAAGGAAGATCAGGGAAAGCTAGGTGATGCGCTGGATGGAGCTCTGGGCATGGAGTCAGGAAGTTTTGACTTCAAATCCAACCTCAAATGCTTACCTTGTACAAATCATGTAACCGTTGCCTGCCTCAGTTTCCTCAAGTGTAAAGTGAAGCTAACTCAACCTTACAGGGATATTGTGAAGAGCAAATGAGATCGTATTTGTAAAGTACCTGGTACAGAGTAGGTGCTTAATAAATGCTTATTCCCTTTCCACTCTCCTTTTAAGGAGGAAGCTGTGGACATACAGAACGAGAGGCAGGCAGTTCAAATGGTTGGAGTCGGACACGTGAATCTGAAAAGCCTGTACTGGCCACTCAGCTGCCCGAGAGTCCCTGCCTGATGTGCTCTCCCCCTCCTCTGTGTGTCTCTCATGGGGGGAAGAGGGGAGGAGGGAGGGGAGTTCAGTCAGCAGCAGCTGCTGTGAGCAGTGGGCCAGCTCCAATGACCATCTGGAGGAGGCATGGAGGAGGTTCAGCCTCTCTCCCCTGCAATTTGAGCTCAGCTGCTTCTTCCTTTACTGGCCCCCCGTTAGCTAAGGCATTTGGGCTTTTTGGACCGCAGGAGAAGAAGGCTACTTAAACTCCCTTCTGATGGTTCTTCCTACCCCAACATATTCTCCAATAAGGGAAGCCTTATGGGCACTGGAGAAATAAGGGGTGGAGTCAGGGACCAATGTAGCTTCTAAACTCAGCAGGAAAGAAGTGCAGAAAACTCACAGCTTTGCATAAATAGAATTCTAGAGATACAGAATGTATCTAGAATGGACCTTAGAGACCATTTAATTCAATTCCTGTATTTTACAGGTGGAAAGGGAGTTGACCAAGGTCACACAGCTAATTCGTGGAGCTGATAGCATAGTATAGTAGGAAGAAGATAGAATGTGTATGGTGGATGAGACTCAATCCTCTCACTTTACAAATGAGAAAACTGAGACCCAAATTCGAACAGCAAGTCAGTGACAGAAGTGGGATCTGGAGTTGGAGGACTGGGTTCAAATCCTAGCCCTTCTACTAATTATCTCTGTGACTGTGGGCAAGTCACTTTCCCTCTCTGAACCTCGGTTTCCCCATCTGTAAAATGGGGTGGGGGTCTTTGGACTGGATGACCTCTCAAGTTCCTCCCATCTTATGAGAATGGCCGAGCTGAGACTGGAAGGCAGTGTTCGGACTCCTGGTCTGTGATAATTTCCTCTGCACTACACTTGCATCTTCTCTTTTCAAAGGAATCTGTTTGAGGAGATCAAAATATAAATATCTGTATCAGATGCAATCCAAAACTCACCACTTCCCAAGAAGCCTTCCCTGATTAGCTCTGCCCTGTACTGATCATTCTTTTGGCCCACATTCCAATATGCACTTGGGAATACAGTTTATATTTCTTGTATTTATTCATGTCCAACTTTGCAATTTTTCCCTCATTGTTTCATGGGTGTAGGTTTTATTTCTGAGACAACTGACTCTATCTTGTACTTACTTAAATTTTGGCCCCACTCCCTAAATCCATAGGAAGACACTGTGTGTATAGATGGTGCTCACTAAATGTTTGTTGAATGAATACATGAATGAATAAGTTAATCCATCCACATTCAAGATAGGGTCAGGAACTATTACAAGATTTCACAGAAATCTTGAGCAGAAAGGGACCATAGGCTGTCAAATGTCAGATCTGGAAGGGGCCTTAGAAAACAGTGTGTTAGAGGTGGAAAGATGGCAGACCGGAGATGACTTACTCCAACTCCTTCATTCTAGAGAGGAAGTAACTAAGACCGAGAGGAAGGCCCTGGGGGGAAAAAAAGACTAGAAAAGAGGAAGTCAAGTAGAAAACCTTGAAAGAGAGGGGCCTCAGAGAAGAGAGGCTTTGAAGCCACCGAAAACTAGATTCAGCTTACAGTAAAATGAATACAGAAGAGAGGGCCCAGGGCGCATACAAATCAGGCCCCAGGTGTGGCAGTGACTGGTCACTGGGATGCAGTAGCCAGCCAAGTCAGCTGAGCCTTGTCTTAGGACAGGGCCAGCAGTGCCTGGGTGGCCAAGCCAGGGAATTACAGCTGCCAAACTCCAATACCCCAACCAGGGTGGTCACATTTGCTTCCTCCTGTGACAAAGGGTATGCAGTTATAATCATAGAATATTGGTTTTGGAAGGGCCCGTTGAGATCTTCTAATCCAGGAGTTCTTAACCATTATCATGTCGTAGACCCCTTTGGCAGTCTGGAAAGGCCTAATAAACCTTTCTCAGAATTATGTGTGTATACGTAAACATACATATGTGTATATATCCACATATACCCATGTATATATACATACACATATATGTGTGCAAATACAATATACATGTAATATATAAATGAAAATACATAAGATTACAAAGGAAATCAATTATATTAAAATACAACTTTTAAGATATTAAAAAAAAAAGGTTACAAGCTCCAGGCTAAGACCTCCTGGATTCTAGGCCAGCCCTCTCATTTTACTGAGGCCCAGAGTTGCATACAGTCAGTGCAAGAAGCAGGACTCTCAATTGCTACTCTACTGTTCAGATGGCTGATTGTGTATCAGAATGTCAGAGATTCCACCCCATCTTGTGTTTGCTTGCTCTTTTCATTTGATCTCATTGGCTTCTGATTTGGTTGGTTGATGCAGGAATATAGGTACCTGGGAAGAGAAAGGAGCCATGGAGAGGGTTTCTTTCTTTCTTTTTCTCTCTCTCTCTTTTTTTTTTTAGAGGCAATCGGGGTTTAGTGACTTACTCAGGATCACACAGCTAGTACGTGTCTGAGGCCGGATTTGAACTCAGGTCCTCCTGACTCCAGGGCAGGTGCTCTATCTACTGCGCCACCTAGCCACCTCTGTATGTGATTTTCTTGACTGACCATCTCAAGTCAACAAGTCAACAAGCATTTATTAAGTGCTTACTTTTTGGGAGGCACTATAATAAATGCTGAGGATACAAAGAAAGTCCAAAACAGACCCTGCCCTCAGGGAGCTCACATTCTAATGGGGGAGACAACATGTAAATAACTATGTACATACAACATACATATAGGGTAAATGGGAAGTAATCTCAGAGGGAAAGCACCAACAGTTGGGGGATGGGGGACCAGGAAAGGCCTCTTACAGAAGGTGGAATTTGAGCTGGGTCTTGAAGGAAGCCAGGAGGCAGAGACAAGGAGAGAGAGCATTCCAGGCATGGGAGACAGCACATGAAAAGGCATGGAGTCGAGAGATGAAGTGTTACATGGGAAAAAACAGTGATAAAACCAGTGTCACTGGATCATACAGCGTGTGCAGGGGAGTAAGAAGACTGCAAAGGTAGGAAGGGGTCAGGTTGTAAAGGACTTTAAAAGCCAAACTGGGGATTTTATATTTGATCGTGGAGGTCAAAGGAAGCCACTGGAGTTTTTTTTAGTGGGAGAGTAACATGGTTAGACCTGCATTTTATTTAATTTAATTTATTTATTTGGTGAGGCAATTGAGGTTAAGTGACTTGCCCAGGGTCACACAGCTAGTAAGTGTCAAGTGTCAGAGGCTGGACTTGAACTCAGGTCCTCCTGACTTCAGCACCAGTGCTTTATAGACTTGCATTTTAGAAAATTGCTTTGGCAGCTGATTGGAGAACAGATTGGAATGGGGAGAGGCTCGAGGTAGACAGATCAATCAGCAGGCTGTTGCAATAGTCCAGGCATAAAATGATGAGGGTCTGCACCAGGGTGGTGGCAGTGTCAGAGGAGAGAAAGCGGTGTGTATGAGATAGTAAAAGAGATGTCTCATGACAAGGCTTGACAACATCACCCCCTCCTGCCCTTGCTACTCATAATGTGAAATGCTCAGCATATAGTTCTGCTATAATGCTTGTTTCTAAAACACAAATTTGTTCCAACATGATTGAAATATTTGGGAACATTTTGAGTAGAACTCCAATTTCCATTTTACTTACACTTGATTTCTTCCAAGAGGAATATCAAGAAAACAGAAAACCGCACTACTTCCTAATAACTCACAAGCTTCAACTTTCCAATGCCAGCTTCCACAAGCAAACTTTAGGTCTTTTTCAAGGAAAAGTGTCATGTTTAAGGTGTCGCTAATTTTTGAGCGTTGTATCCCTAATCCCATTTTCCCTATAAGCCTTGTGATATTTATTGTGTGGTTTTTGCATAGGACTGTGCTTTTTTGCGGGGGATGCCTATGTTCCACTAGAGCAAAACTGACTGAATTCTCCTTCCTGTCCCTTCAGGGAGATTCAAAGTCACTTCTCCCAACTTCCACACCCGCTACCCAAATTCTGGAGAAAAAATGGAAGTTTGAGGGAGGGTAAGAAAGAAAACAAACAAAAGTCCCCAAAGAATATTAATCCTTATATATACATATGACTTCATATTTTTCCAACACACTTGTATTTATTTAAGTAGATTTATGCCTGATCTGTAAAATTGAATTACTCGTGCTTTGCTTGCTTGAAGGCAGGGGGTTGAACCAGATGATCTTCTAAGAGTCCTTCTAAGTTCTGAGACCTATCGTTCCTCCTTACTTCTGAAAGGTTCAAAGTGGCAGTACTTTCCTATAAATTATCAGAGGACCTTGAAGAGCTACATAAAGGTTAATACCCCACCTCTGAGGCTTTTTCGGATGATCTCTCTGGGGTCTCATTTTTCTCATCTGTAAAAATGAGGGGGACTAGACCACACGGCCTCGAGATCCCTTTCAACTCTAGGTCTATGATCCTATGATGTTATTTGACTCTCATAGTAGTCCTCAGGGAATAGGGATAGGTAGATCAGATATTTATAGTCCCATTTTACAGGTGAACAAACTGGTTCCAAAACCCAGGATTACAAAATGAAGTGCTTGAAGCTCAGACTAGAACCCAGGTATACTCTTGGCACTACATCAGGCTGTCTTGGGAAGAGAAGGCACAGGAGCCGTGATATGTCTGGCCAGGTACGATTGAAGGTATTCAGACCTTGCTGAAAGACACCCTTCTCCCCCGTTTTGCATCTGTCTCTATCTCTAGACTTCAGAGAGCGACTGTGAACTCACTGGAGCACTGAGCACATCCCTTGTCCATAGTAGGTGCTTATCTTATGTCTGTTGAATGAATTGGTGGCAGAGGAGCTTATCCAACCTATATCTCTCGTCTAGGTAGACTGCAGAGCCTAGTCTCTCCCTTTGGTGCCACCCTACAGTACAGAAACCCTCCTTGGCTCATTGGCTTGTGGAGGGAGTCTGTAAGCAAATGAACTTTTGTGTCAATGAATCCCTCCCCTGCCCCCGCCGCCCTTGTCTGCCTCGCCCCTGAGGACTGTTTTTCTCTCTCTCTCAGGAATTTCTCTGTGACCAGAAGTACAGTGATGAAGAAAACCTGGAGGAAAAGCTCACAGCCTTCAAAGGTAAGCCTGGGCTGGCGGCCCCTGGGACCCCTCCGGGAGAGCTTCCACATGAAGCCCTCTGTTTTGGGAAAGCCCAGGGCCAGTTGCTGTTGACTTTGTCCCTTGTTCCCTTTGGATTCATTCCTCAGGTGGCAAACAAAGCAGCCAGATAGATCTCTGTCCCATGGGTCTGGGCCATGACCTTATCCATTTTGGAACTCACCCTGTCCCTTTTTCCTCTGTGTTTCTTTGTGGAATCCAGGCCGGATACGCCAGGTGTGGGGTTCTCAGTGAACCCCACTGAGGGGAGAGTTCTTGCCCTCCTGTTTCTTTCTTGGTCCCTCAGACTGGCGTTCACTTTGGCCTTTCCTGCCCAGAAGATGCTTGCCACACCTTTAGGGCTCCCTGCCCTACAGTCCACCCTGGGCAGGACCCTTTCTCCTTTTCCTCTCCTCCTCCCCTGCTTCAGGTCTGCAGGGCTGGCTTTTTTCTGCTTTGCTACCCGAGCTCCACTGACTGTCGGTAGCCTTGCACAATCAGTCCATTGTGAGCTGCCCTCTCCCCCTCCAAGCGGAGCGTCTCAGGAGCCCCTGTGGAGAATGGGCATTTGTGTAGCTGCACCGGGGCAGGGGGGCAGGATTTCTGCCCATTGAATCCCAGCAGCACAGGATGAAAAGGAAACATGAACATGGAGCCCATGTTGGAAAAGAGGCAGCATAAAGGCTCTTCTGTCTCAGGCCATGCCTTCCAGCTTCCAGCCAGCGATCACCCCCAAAGAGGAAATATATATGTAAGGAATGTGAGTGGGGAAATCTTTTCTGGATGGATCCATACACATGGGGCAGAGGAAGCTTTGTCCTTAGGGACGACACACAATATATGACTTCGTGATCCTAAGCAAACAAACTTCATGGTATGCTGATCAGTCAGTCAGTCAACAAATATTTACTATACACTTACAAAGTGCCAGGCACTGGGCTAAGTGCTGGAGTTACAAAGAAAGACTGAAAAACATTGTCCCTGCCCTCAAGGAGCTCACATTCTAAAGGGGGAGACCAAATGCAAATAATTGGATATGTATAAAGTAGATATAGGATCGGTGGAAGGCAATCTCAGAGGGAAGGTGCTAGTGGAAGAGTGGACTGGCAAAGGTCTCTTGCAGTCTTCTTTTTTTTTAATTAATTAATTTTTAGTTTTCAACATTCACTTCTATAAGATTTTGAGTTCTAAATTTCCCCCCCCCCCAAAACAGCATGCAATCTGATATAGGCTATACATGTACAATCCTATTAGCCATATTTCCACAATAGTCATGTTGTAAAAGAAAACTCAGAACAAAAGGGAAAAACCAAGAGAAAGAAAAAAAAAGAGAGAAAATAGTATGCTTTGATCAGCATTTAGATGCTGTAGTTCTTTCTCTGGATGTGGATAGCATTTTCCCTCATGAGTCTTTAGAATTGTCTTAGATCATTGCACGATCTTGAATGGAGCCAAGCAAACAAGAGATGGAGGTGAGCAGGCAGAACCTTCCAGACGGGAGAGACAGTCAGTGCAAAGGCATGGCGCAGACAGAAAATTGAGTATCCGGGGATATAATTACAAGCAAAAACAAAGATAATTCCTGTCCTCAAAGAGCTTACATTTTAATGGGTGGGGGAGGAGGAGAGATGATTAAAAAAAAGGGGAGCCGAAAAGGCGGGGGGGGGGAGATGGAGAAGGTATCGTGTGAGGGTACGTGGTCCAGAGAGTCAGCATAGCCAGGAGGAGAAGGAAGCATGACTGGTTTGTGCCCATTCCCAAAATGAAGGGCCCAGAAGGAATACACCAGTGGATAACGGAGGCCTGCATGGAAGAAGGATGTTCCAAGGTGAAAAGGCAGCTGGGTGATGGTGGCAAAGTCCAGAGATGTAAGAAAGCAGGAAAGGTGTGAAGGGAACAGGTTATGAAGAGCTTAATGACAGAGTAGTTTATATTTGATCCTGGAAATATAGTGAGTCACTGGAGTTTAATGAATAGACTATAACATGATTAGACTTGCCCTTTAGGAAAATCACTTTGGCAGGAGAGAGTTGAGGCAAAGCAGTCACCTCAGCAGTAACAGGAAAGTTCAGAAGGTGGGGGAATGTTGACTTTAAGATGCTTGTAGAACATGCGGTTCGAGATGTCCAAGAGGCAGTTGGAATTTTGTGACTGTGTCTCAGAAGAGAGACTAGGCCTGGATGTGTAGGTCTGGGAATCATCGGCATACAGATGATACCTGAGCCCTTGGGAGCCAAGGAGTTTACCAAGGAAAAGAATTTAGAGTGAAAAGAGGAAGCTCAAGACAGAGCCTTGAAGGATGCCCATGGTTAGCTGACATGACACAGATGAAAACCTAGAAAAGGAGACTGAGGAGGAAAGGTTGGACAGCATCCCCTGTCACTACATTTCCTTTATCCCCTCAGTCTTGTGGATAAGTAGGCTACCTTTCTTCCAAGTGGTTCAAAGAATATCCCATGTGTCATCTCAGTGATCACTTTTTTGGAAAATTAAACGTTTTATTAAAAACATTACTAAAAATCAACACAACCAACTAAACTTGGTTAGTAAATAGTTACATCCTAATTAATTTCAGTGAAATATCATAAAATCTTTTCAGTCCTCTTTAATTTAATTTAGCCCCCTCACCTTCATCTCTTAAGTTTCCCTGACTTCCTTCAAGACTCAGAAAAAAATGGAAAAAAAGAACTTTATGTGATAACTTTATTATATATTTAAAAGGAATAGCAAGTTGTACATAATAGATTTGCAGTTTCATGTGCAATCATCTTTTTTTATAATACTATGTTATGGAAAGTTTTATTCCATAAATTAAAAATTAAATAAATACAAATTTTCAAAAAGACTCAAATCCCACTTTCTGCAAAAGGCCTTTTAGGTCTCTAAGTCCATATCAGAATTCCTTGTTTTCTCATTTATTGTGCTCTCATAGAGTCAAGAGTGTATTCTGTTCTTCTAGTTTTGCTTTTTTTTTTTCTTCCCTTATTCTATGAAGGTCTTAGGGTCATAGAATCATAGATTTAGAGCTGAAAGATACCTTAGCAACCATTAGCCTAACTCCATTATTTTACAGATAAGGCACCTGAAGCAGAGAGGTCAAAAGACTTGCCCAAGGTCACAGGTAGTAAATAGTAGAGGTAATATTCAAACCCAGGACCTCAGACTCCAAATCCAGGACTTTTTCCTCCTTACCATGCTAATTCCTTGTAAGGTTTTTTTTTTTAATTCCTCCAACTTATTGGTCTCAAATGCATTACAGTATTCCATTATATTGTTGTATCATAATTTAACCCTTAATTCCCCTATTGTTAGATATTTGCTTGTTTTTCAGTCTTTTGTTTGTTTTGCAATTATACATATATATGTGTGTGTGTGTATATATATACATAGATATATATATATATATAATATGTAATGCTGCTTTGAAATTTTTTAATAGATTGCTCTTTTTAAAAATGACTAAGGGTATATTCCCAATTATTGGGTAGAAGGATGTCATTATTTTTGTAACTTTTACTGTACATTGCCAGACTGAAAAGATTTTGCAAGTTTGTAATTTCACCAGTAGTGAATGGATGTACATGTTTCTCCACAATTTCTTATTTATCTTCATAGTATTACTGAGGGAGAGGGAGGAAACAGGTAACATTACCGCCGCTTTCCAGAAAGGACAACTGAGTCTCAGAGAGCGTAAACGCTTCATTTCAAGATAAACTGGATGTCAGTGGAGGAACGTGAATAAGGATGAAAGAAAATTCTGATTCTCTGAGTAGATTGCTAAAAAACATAATAATTCACATTTACATAATTCTTTTAAGGTTTATAAAGTGTTTTCCTCACAATAATCCTATGAGGTAGATGTGGGAGTATCATCATCATCCCCACTTTACAGATGAAAAAATTGAGGCTCAGAATTAAGTGGCTTGCCCACAGTCACACAGCTAAGAAGTCTTAGAGCTAGGACTTGAACCCAAGTCTGCTAACTCAGTCCAGTGCTCTTTCCTCTTTCCTTTCCTGTTTCTCTGAGCCAACTGGTACTGAGATAGTCTGGTCCTTTGATGAAGTTCTTGTTTGCTGCTTTTCCTGGGCTCCCCCTAACATAGACTCTTACTCTGTCTTCCAGAGAAGTATATGGAATTTGACCTGAACAATGAAGGAGAAATTGGTAAGTCAATTCACTAAAGACTAAGCAGGCCGAGAAATTTCCTCGGAGTTGAGTGAGGGAGAGGGAAGGTGGAAAGGGAAAAGCATGCATACAGGGGACATACCCAAGGGTGATGGGTAAGAGTCCACACTGACCTATGTATGTGATTGGAAGAGAATGACAGAATTTAGAGGGGAAAGGGACCTCACTCATTAAACTGATGCCTGACAAGTGGGCATTCAGCCTCTGCTTGAAGACATTCGAGGAGCAGGGACCCACTATCTCAAAGAAGACCATTCTATTTTAGATAACTCTTAACTCTTTGGAAGTTTTTGGTGTTTTTTTTTTGTTTGTTTGTTTTTTTGATGAGGCAATGGGGTTAAGTTACTTGCCCAGGGTCACACAGCTAGTAAGTATCAAGTATCTGAGGCCAGATTTGAACTCAGGTCCTCCTGACTCCAAGGCTGGAGCTCTATCCACTGTGCCACCTAGCTGCCCTCTTTGGAAGTTTTTACTGATATCAAGCCTGAGTTTACCTCTTCCCTGCCTCTTCTCTCTCCCCCCCCCCATTTGTAATATTTCAAGAGAAGTTTGAGCTTCTAGGAAGTGTACTCATTGTTTCAGGGTTTTTCCCAACTCCCAGACTCCAAGGTAAAAGGCTTTTACTGGGGCTATTTGGCTGCCACTGAAGCCAAGCCTAGCCTCTGGCATTGCTGATACCCTTCACTTCTCACTCTTCTTTGGGCCTTCCATTTCTTCCAAAGCCTTCCTCCATACTCAGCAATTTGCCAGAAATTTTAGATCTGAGAGGGACCTATGGAGAGTGAAGGCTATTGAACTGTGTCCTGGCCCCAGATATATTTCTACTCTTTCAGCAGCAGACAAGAAGTCAAATGCCTTTAAGATCTTAGCTTCCTGTTCTCATACTGTTTTCTCAATTTTCTTTTTAAATAATCAAATACAGACATAATAATAAATATTTTTAGAAAATTAAGCAGCTTGAGCATAGTAGATAGAGAATAGGCCTTGGACTCAGAATATCCTGCCTCTGATACATACTGACTGTGTCCTTCTGGGCAACCCTAATAAGATTGTAAACTGTAAGACCAGTAGACTGTGCCTTCCCTCTTTTAATTATCTTCCATTTTTCCTGTATATAGCTCACTTTGTATATATTTATTTGCTTGTTGTCTCTCTGGTTAGATTGTAAGTTCCCTGAAGGTGGAGACTGTCTTTTGTCTCTTTTTGTATCCCCAGTACTTAGCATTGTGCCTTGTACATAGTAGGTGCTTAATAAATGTTTATTGATTAAACAATTATGGTTAGATAGTTAACCCTGTGGATGACAGAGTTAGAATCTGAAAGGACCTTTTCAGGCTAGGAGAGATGGGAAACCTGCGGCCTAGATACCAAACGTGGCCTTCTAGGTCCTGAAGTGCAGCCATTTGACTGAATCCAAATTTCACAGAACAAATCCCAGGTCCCTTATTCCACAACCCCTCCCCCCCACCCCCCAGCCCCCACCCCACTCTAAAGCATCGAGCTAATCTGATCTAACAAGGGATAAATGTAAATTCTTGTCCTTGGCTACAAAAAAAATCAACATTACAAGTATAAGGTGGAGGAGGAATGAATAATTCTGAAAAAGATCTGGGAGTTTTAGTGCAAATGCAGGCTCAATAAGAGTCAGTGGCAACCACAAAACCCCTAATGAAATCTTGGGTTGAGTTGTGAAGGGCGTAGCTTCCAGTAACAGGAAGGTGTACTTTGTTCTCATCGGACCTCATATGGAGTATTGTGCTCAGTTCTGGGAATCATGGTTTAAGAAGCCTCTAGAAGAGGGCCAGGACCTCGGGGATGCCTTACGAGGATCAGTTGAAGGAACTGGGCGTGTTTGTCTTACAAAAATAAAAGCTTAAGGGGGACATGAGCTGCCTTCAAGTATCTAAAGAGTTATCATACAGAGAAGGGACTAGACTCTGAGAAGCCCTACAAGACAAAACCAAGAGCAATGGTTAGATGTCTAGAAGAGGAGGAAAAATTTCAGCCAATTGTCAGGAAAAAAACTTCCTAAGAATTAGAGCTGTCCAAAAGTGGAATGGGCCACTCTACCTGGCCTAGAGGAGCCGTGGCCTCCCTGCCTTTGCAGGTCTTCAAGGAAAGGCTGGATGACCACTTGCTAGATAAGCGAGAATGATGATTCCTTTCATCTGTGGACTGAACGAGGTGGCTTCTGAGATCCCTACCAATTCCCAAAGTCTAATTCTGTGAAGTTGCAAAGCAGATGTCAGTATGTATTAGTCAAGAGAGTTCCCTTGTTAAGAGTTCACCATATTGATAAAATCACAGGTCCTGACCATGCATACATATCCATGTATATGTGCATATTTATGATATATGAAATATGTATTTTGAGGAGGGTAATGTTGCATTCCATTCATTTTTTGGTACAAGTCTGGGTAGGCAAAGTGCCACCAATGTCCCTTTGTAAAGTACAAGAGTAGGACATTAGGGGGTAGAGAAACAGCTGGTCTTTTGGGAAAAAAAAAGGAAACACTTAAAAGTATATTATTTATTACATATGATGGCTTTCTGAGAGGTTGTTGTTTGCCCTTCGTTCTCAAAGGGGACCGACCATGCCATCAGGAACATGATGCCATGACTTGCAAGCGAATCGGATTTGAATGGGGGAGGTCTGTGCAAAGCCACCAGCCTCACTCACTCCTCCAGAGCCAGAGTCCGGTGGCCAGATAGAGATCAATCAGGATGACTGGAGACGGCCCCAGATTCTCTGAGAGGGAGAAAGGTTAAGATCACTAGGAGAAATTGTAGAAATGTAAAAAGTAAAAATAAATCAATAAAATTTTATGTTGAAATTTTTTAGGGGAGAGAGAAAGCGACAGAGAGACAGAGAGACAGAGAGAGAGGGGGCTAGTCTCACTCCTATTTGCCCTGACCGTCTCGTCCTGAGCCGCTGTTTCCCAAAGCTTTGAAGTTAGCCTGGCAGCCTCTTCGCCTGGTTGCTGATAATGCATTGTTTCACTGGAGAACAAGGGTGGCGGAGGGGAAGGGGTTGGGGGTGGGGTGGGGTTCTGTCCAAAGCACCAGCCCCACAGGGGTGGGGGTTCTTTGCCTGTGTGTGCCTCCTTTGTTTTTCTTGCATCTTTTTCTTGTTTGTTTTCCTGCTCTGCGTGGTATTTTTGGCATCTCTGTTCCTCCCAGCTGGGGAGGTGCCCCTTCACTTCCCCATGGGGTGGGGGGGACATTGTGAGGAGCTATTCTGCTGAATTGCATGAAGTTCAAGTCGGCTTGCCAACTTGCTGCCCGCGCCCTACCATGAAGTCAAGAAAGAAGCTGTAATCAGCAGAGACCTGGTTCTACTGCAGGAAGGGGGCAATAGGAGGCAGGAACGACCCTTACTGTAACCTCCTTCAGCAATCCGGCAAACGTTTATTAAGCATCTCCTGGATGACAAGACCCTATACTCTTCTCTGGGGATATAAAGACACAATCTCAGCCCATGATGAACTTGTGTTTTAATAGAAATTCAGACATAACACAAATAAGTATCGATCAATCTATTAGCAAGCATTTATCAAGGACTTTCTATGTGTCAAGCGCTGTGCTAGGTATTGGGAACACAAATATAAAAAATAAAACAAAGGAGCAGCTACGTGGCACAGTGGATAGAGCACTGACTGTGGAATCAAGAGGACCTGAGTTCAAATCCAGCCTCAGATACTTACTAGCTGTGTGACCCCGGGCAAGTCACTTAACCTTGATTGCCTCCAAAAAAAAAAAAAAAGAATGAAGCAAGCAGTCTACTCTCAAGCTTACATTCTAACTAGTATATTTCAAGGTAAACTGTGATAAGAATAAAGAAAATTCCAATGATATGACCCAACGAATTTTTGAGGCAAACAAAATAATTTGCATCGTGGGATCAGAGAAAACTTAAAGGAGCATGTGGCGCCTGAGCTGGACCTTAAAGGAAGAGAAGAATTTCATCAAGTGGAAATATGGAGGATGTGCCTTCTGGGCATGGAAGTAACAGGGCAAGATCTAGGAGTAGTTTAGCTGGAATGTAGAGTGATTAAAGGAGAGTGGGATGAAACGAGACCAGAAAGGTGGGTTGGAGCCAGACTGTAGAGGATCTTAAATTCCAGGAGGAGGAGTTTGTATTTTATTCTAGAGGTAAGAGTGAGCCCTAGAAGGTTCTTGAGCTGGGAGTGGCATAGTCAGACACAATCTGACCCCATTTACATTTTCAAATAATCTTTTAATATTTATTGATATCTTTTATAGTATCTTCATTATATCTTTTATATCATCTTCATTTCCATATGTATCCTTCTCCCTTCCCTACGCGGAGAGCCACCCTTTGTAACAGAGAACAAAATAAGAGGAGGGAAAAAAAGGCAGTTCTGTATAATTAACCAGTACATCAACTACCACTGACAGTATATGTAATGTTCTGCAACCATAGCCTCCCTCCTCTGCAAAGAAAGAAGGACAAAGAGGTCCATTTTCTTATGTTTTCTTCATCAGACCAAGCTTTGACCTCCCTACTCCTACTGGGACATATGTTAGCGGCTCCTTAGGAGACAATCCTCACTGAAGGGTAGTAACACCCAGTCCTTTGGGCGCCGAATCACCTCCCACTCCTCAGTACTTTTATAGAGAAAACCATAGAATCATAAAGTCTTAAAGCTAGAAAGTATCTTAAAAGACACAATGACCATGGAATGTCGGAAGAGGAAAATGAAAAAAAGAGAAGAGAAAAATGGATATTCTAGACCAGCAGTCTTCCTTGCATATATGGCCTATCCAAGTACAGTAAATTTGATTTTTCCCTGGCAGACCTGATGTCCCTGAAGAGGATGATGGAGAAGTTAGGTGTCCCAAAGACCCACTTGGAGATGAAGAAGATAATCTCCGAGGTGACAGGTGGGGTCAGTGATACTATCTCCTACCGGGACTTCGTGAATATGATGCTTGGGAAACGTTCAGCAGTCCTCAAGCTGTGAGTAGCACTCCTCGAATCCACCTCCCCGAGCCTCTAAAGCCCAAACCATTCTATGCAGGCATATTTCCCAACTTGGGACTTTGCATTCATCCCCAGCCCTGGTACTAGTCTCCCTGCTCTCCTGCCTTTGCCCTCCTTACCTCTTTACTGAATATTCAACCCACAGAGTCCCTAGTTTCCCATCCTTGAAGAGCTGTGCGTGGGTTGGAGGCATCACAGGGTGAAAGGATGTTAGATCTGAGAGAATCTTAGAGATTATTTACTTCAACCCCCATCTTATGGAGGAGAAAACAGGTCTAGAAAGGGGAAGCAACTTACCCAAAGTCACATAAGAACTTAGTGGCAGAGTTGGGATGAGAATCCCATGAGATAGTGCTCTCAAAATCCTAATATCCCTTCAAGGTCCTAGAAATTTTCATACATGATACCAATGGGAATTGCTATCATTCAGGTCTTTTGAATCCCATGTACTGTACCTCTCTATCTGCTTACATTCATATTTAAGAGGCAGTATGGCATAGTGGGCAGCTAGGTGGTGCAGTGGATAGAGCGCCAGGCCTGGAGTCAGGAACACTTACCTTCCTGAGTTCAAATCTGGCCCCAGACACTTACTAGCTGTGTGACCCTGGGCAAGTCACTTAACCCTGTTTGCCTCAGTTTAATCATCTGTAAAATGAGCTGGAGAAGTAAATGGCAAATTGCTCCAATATCTTTGTCAAGAAAACTCCAAATGGGGTTACAGAGAATATGACACAACTGAAAATGTCATAGTGGATAGAGTGCTGGGCTAGGAGTCAGAAGGACCTTGATTCAAATCCTGCCTCAGATGCTCAATAGCTGTATGACCCTCGGCAGCCCATATAATCTCTTGGAGCCTCAGTTTCCTTATTTGTAAAATGGGACTGGACTAGAGAACCTCTAGAGTCTCTTGCAGCTCAGGTGTTGTACTCTTCCCACCCATGCCATGTCTCTTTCACTCTACCAGACTCTCATTGTCTTTCCATGAGCAGAGCAATGATTCTACTCTGTTCTCAAAAATTGCCTTAGTTCTTAGTAGAGAAAAATAGGACTTTACTTAAAAAAACAAACAAACAAACAAACAAAAAAACTATAATCCTTTTAGTAAAATTGCTATTCCTGAAATGATTGCCAATTTTGGTTTCTTTAAATCTCTGTGCAAAGCAGCTAAGGCTAGAAACTGCCATTTTTTTTTAAATTACTAGAAGGTAGTAAGTAACTTAAATCCCTCTGACCCCCTACTGTCTCAGTACCTCTCTGCTCTTCACTCAAATAGCTCCAGGCTGTCCCAGGTAGAACCAGACAGGAGTTGCTCCTAGTCTCGTGATCACTGGAAATAAAGAGCCAGAGTCAGAGGTTTCATTCCCACAGACTGGTGGTTCTTAAAGGTATGCAGTGTACTTTGAAGCTTGCTAGATGGTCCGTGAATTTCATGGAACTCACAATTGTATGCCATGCCTGAGTACCTCAGGAATTTCATGGAACTTAACTAGCATGCTGCAGCTAGGAATCTCCCAGGAATTGCATTATCCCCCTTTTACAGATGAGGGACTTTGACACCAGGAAGGGTTAAAGGGATCACAAGTCTAATAACTGCCTGAGGTGCTGAACCCAGGTTTTCCTGACTCCAACTTCAGTGCTCTATCCATCATGAAACCTAGCTGATTGCTTCTACACCACCAATTACTAGCCATGTGAGGATGAATTGTTTAACCACTTTGAGTCTCAATTTATTCCCCTGTAAAATGGGAGTGATAATTTCCATCCTACCTGTCTTCATAAGGTTGTTGTAAGGTTCTAAGAGAGCACATGTAAAAGTTTGTGTAAATAAAAGGCACATTCCAAGTGCAGGAAAACACAGATACCAACCTAATCCAGTTTTTCTTTTCTCCCTGTTCCCTACCCTCAACAGAGTCATGATGTTTGAAGGAAAAGCCAACGAGAATGCCCCCAAGCCTGTTGGTCCCCCTCCTGAGAGAGACATTGCCAGCCTGCCCTGAAAACCCCTGCTCTGCCTGCCTGCCTACTTCCCTGGCCAGCACTCAGCGGAGCTTCTTTTGTCTCCTTGTGACTTTTCTTATTTGTTCCTTATTGCTTTGTGTTTTTTGTTTGCTCTTTGTTTTATTTTTTTGTTTTGTTTCTGTTTTTTTCATTTTTTACCTTAGAAAGTTTTAGTGATTTTTTTTAAAGGCACAAACTTATCTGCCTTAGGGGAGTTAGAAATGGGAGGAATCCAGTGCCTTTGGTCCCTTGCCTTCTTTTGCAGAAGGGCTCATCTGAATTGAGATGAATGATGGGGTATCGCTGATGTTAAACCAAATGCCCATCCTTGGAGACCACTACTTCCTTTCTTCCATGAGGTCTGAGTGAGATTAGGTGCCCTCCACAGTGAGATAAGGGACTTAGATTTAGGACCTGTAAATATCTTCCCACTTCTGCTAGTAGCTTTTGGGGTGATCTGAGGCACAATTTCACTTTACCTGCCTCTTAATGTCCCTATCAGGACTCTGGATTCCTGATATAGATGCGTTCTCCATGGATAGCATGCTAGAAGCCTGGGAGCATAGTCAAAACAGCTGGCTACCACTAAAGTTTTCCCCATTCGCTCTGTGATCCCAGCTGCCCCTAGACCTCTCTGTCTTCTAGACATCCTGCTGGTCAGCATTTTCATTTGGTATGATCCAGGGTCTCCTGTAATCTTTTACTTGATCTAAGTATGCTTGTCATCATGAATGAAGGAAGGTAAAGGTGCTGAAATCAAGCCTCCATGATTGAGAAGGGAGAAAGGTATGGAAAAAAAGAGTTAAAAAACTGGGCCCAACAGAGTAGCACCAGAAAGTTACCTTTGGGACTTTGCTCTCTGGAAATAAAGACATCTAAGGACCAATGATGACCCTGAGGAAAACAGCAAGCTAACTCCTGGGTGGCTAAGAAGTGAAGGTTGGACCAGGCTGAACGTTATCTCCTCCAGAGGCAAAAAAAGATGTGAGAAAAAGATGAGAGGGCTTTTGGAGGTCTTCCTTCTAACTGTAGATCATCCCAGGGAGTCAGCACAGTCTCAGTCCCATTTCAAGAGAAGATCTTAAAAACAGCATCAGAGGCCAGTGGGGAACTGAGAACCCCAGTACCAAAATGTTACACCTGACTCTCTGTGAAGAGCTAGCATATGAAGGCCATTTCTATGAAGAACTAGCGGAGAGGCCCTTCTGGCCATGATCTGGCTGGATTTTTACTCCTTATAGAAAGCTTTAATGCCTCTTGATAGCAAAGGCCCAGTGTCCTGCAAACCTCATTTGGCCTTTGTTTTCATATTGCCCCTCTGGTTTCTCTGAGCATGATATCTGTGATGCATCCCTAAGGTGTTGTATTACAGAAACAAACGTTAGAGCTGGAGAGGATTTTGGAACATGGAATTTTAGAACGGGAGACCCTCTAGTCTAATCTCATTGTTAGTAAATAGGTGAGACTAGAATTGTCTCTTGTGACAGAAAAGGAGAGAGAGAGGTAGCTAGAAAGAAATTCTAGGGTAATGCTTTGTGTAAATCCTACACTAGGTGAAGAAGACTAGGCACCTCAGTTCACACTTTTATAGTATATCATTAGCATGAGGATCCATTTGCCTGCATTATCTGGATATCTTACTCTGTTCCCCAAAGGACCTCTCTGCCTCCTGCCCTCCCAAGCTTCAGAAAGCAAAAAATTTGAAATTTTTGTAGGAAATTGCAAAGTTAGTCTCTTGATTCATAGTTAACAGACAGTGCCCTTAAGTCTGAGCTGCCTGGCCTTGCGGAGGTCCCTCTGGAAGCAGCATTGCAGTGGGTCCTGTGGAAGGGGCTTATTATATAAAATTGATCCACCATCAACAGTATGACAGGGTGGTTATGTGAGCCCCAGGGCAGCAAGTGGTCTTGGAATGCCAGCATGGACGTCTTTACCTAAAAAGGCATAACTAGAGCTCTCTACAAAATGTGACAAAGGTGGACTTTGTTACTGTCTAGGTCCCCTTAGTGGGTTGAGGGTGGATCTGTGTTCCTGGATTTATTTGGTGTTGTGTCCCCTGTGAGGGGGAAGAAGACTGAAAAACATAAGTAGTCATATCTATGAATATTAGGATGACCCCCATTGTGAGCAGGACTTAGCCTGTGTTGTGCCTTGCTCCAATCTTAATTGTGATAGATGCTGCTAAGCAAAGAACTTTTTGAATTAGCTTGGAGGCAGGGTGAATAAGCTAAGAGATAGAGAGCCATGTCATTGTTGCATGTGAGCCTACCTGGTCCTGACAGGCTCAGGAGCCAGGAAACATTTTTGGCTGAGTGGTTGAATTTTGACCTAAGTAGCTGCCAATATGTGCAGACACATTGCTCCTTATAAATTCTATCCTTATTGCTATTTCCTTAAGGCAACCAACTGAGCTAGCAGCTGACCTGAAATTCCCCCCTCCCCTTTTAAACTGCTGTCTCTTTTTCCCTGGGATGTGCTTTGAGCAAGATGAAGTCTGTTCTGGCATCCCAATCAGATATAGATACAATGATTCTCCCTTAGAAGTAAAGAAAGAAGGAGCTGGGCCTCTTTCAGTGGTTTCTGTGGCTTTCTATGACCTTAGGAAAGCCTTGGAAATCATTTCCTTCTACTTCTCCAAGAAATGGGAACAAATAATTTGCTCACAACCTCTGAGAAGAGGCAGAGAAGGAAGTATTACTCTTTGAAAGGGGTCTCCTCTGATAGAACACATCAACTCCTTCTCCATGGCTCTTTGAGACTCAGAACTTGTTGGAACTGCCCCTCGAATAGAGCCATTTCTGGGAAGGGTGATACCTTGGATGGATCTGAGGAGCTGCCCCTTGCCTCTGGGGCTCATCTTTTCTGCCTTGGACTTACAAGCGCTGGACTTTCATATCCTGACTTTTTACTTTTGAAAGACCAAGTCTGACCAAGTTATAACTCAACGAGATTCTGTCAAGGGCTTGGGCCCTTTCTTGTGACTGAAAAGGAAGAGTTCACCAGAGCTGAGTGAAGTATCTGTTTGTATGTTTGTGCGTCTGGGGAGGGCCACTTCTATAGACTGAAAATAAACTGGACGAAATGGTCATTGGCCTGTTTATTTTGGAGCTTCCAGGCCCACTGACATGGGTCTTAGGTTATATAACTCAGATGCAGTTTTACAGCTACAGTCACACTTGCAACCTTGCCCATCTGGAAATGTCTCAGAACCTTTTGTCCCTGGATTGACTCACCATTTCTTGAGAGGCCCCAGCCATGTTCATTCCCAGCTCAACTCACTCTCTGGAATGTTCTGCCTCACCAGCAACCTTGATGCCCCTCCCCCTTCCACAACAACTCTGTGAGGTAGGAAGTACAAATGTCATGCCCATTGAGGAAAGGGATGCTCATCGAGGTGAGAATTGCCCATGGTCACATTCAATTCAATTCCACAAGCATTTACAAAAGAGTGTAAGGCATTGAGTTAAATGCTGAGGATTCTTTTTTTGTATCTGTGAATTGAATGGGCAGAACTACTAGGGTAGAAATTTCACCAATGCATTTCAGCAACTCTTCCCTAACTTAAGAATTAGAGAGTTAACTGGGTCACTGAGAGGTTTAGTGACTTGTCTGTGGTCCCATAGCTTACATGTGGCAAAGGCAGGATTTGAAGCCAGGTTTTTTTTTTGTTTTTTTTTTTTTTTTAGGCAATTGGGGTTAAGTGACTTGCCTGGGGTCACACAGCTAGTGTCAAGTGTTTGGTCTGAGGTCACATTTGAACTCAGGTCCTCCTGATTTCAGGGCCAGTGCTCTATCCACTGCGCCACCTAGCTGCCCCTGAAGCCAGGTCTTCTTAACGCCATTTGATTCACTCTACCATCCGCTTTATATCATGCTGGGGGTGGAAGACAAAAATGAAAACCAGATGTTGTCCTGAAGGGGCTCACATTCTTCTGGGGGATGTCAAATGGACACAGGAGTAAAGGCCTGATAATATAAAGAGTGAGAACTGGTGGAAACAGGAAAGGATTCCTGGAAGAGGTGGTACCTGAGATGAACCTTGAAGGAAGCTAAGGAGTTTAAGATGGAGGGAGGTAAAGAAGGAAAGCATTCCAGGCATGGGGACAGCCGGTGCAAAGGCAAGAAAGAAAACGGCTAATTCTAGCAACAGCAGTTCCATTTTGCTGAGAGTGTGTGAAAAGAAGTCATAAGAAATGTCTAGGAAGGTAGGTTGGAGTCACATTATGAAGGACTTGAAATGCCAAGCTGAGGAGTTTGTATTTTATCCCAGAAGCAAAAGAAATGAAGAAGGATGTCATGTGGTCAGACCTGTGCCTTAGGAAGACTATTTTGGCAGCTGGGGAGGGAATGGACTGGAAGGGAGGACAATCCTCCCTGGAAACAGGGAGACTGATTAGGAGGCTACTGCCGCAGTTCAGAGAAGGGACTGTGAGGGCCTGAATGAATATGGCAAATATATGAATTGAGAGAAAGGGATGTGGAAAATGTCAGGGGAGAATTGATAAGACTTGTCAATTGATTGGGTACGGGGAGTGAGGGAGATGGAGAAGCTGATGTGACTCCAAGGCTGCAAACCTCAGTGATGAGAAGGATGGTGGTACCCGTAAGAGAAGTGAGGAATTTTGGAGGAGGGAAGATTTCATGGGAGAAGGCTTTGAGTTCTGCTTTGGACATAGTGAATTGGAGTTGCCTGTAGGCTATTAGATTGCTTATTTGAGACTAGAGCTCAGGTGAAAGACTAGAGCTGGAAATAGAGATTTGGGAATTATCTGCATATAGATGATAATTGGACTCATGGGAGGAAATTAAATCACTGAGAGAAGAGGGCCCTGGACAAAGGCTTTTGCTGGACACCCATGCTTAAGGGATGGGACATGGAGGATGACCTAGTAAAAGAGACTAAGAAGGTACAGTTACGTAGGATGAGAGCCAGGAAAGAGCAGTGTCAAAGTGCTGAAGGAGAGAATATCTAGGAGGAGTGGTTAACAATAGACATTTGATTTGAGGAAAAGGTGTTTGCATTTAGCCCTTAAGAGATCCTGGTAGAAGGGGTAGTTTTAGTTGTATAGGGATGTCTGAAGCCAGATTGCAAAGGATTTATGAGTGAG